CACGTCTGAGGCTGTGATGGAGCAGGAATTTGGACCGAGGCGTCCTGAGGTCTAAAGCTCCCAGCCGCACTGCTGCCCCTTTGGAAAGTGTGGGGCTGCGAGGAAACTTGTAATGGGGAAGAGGCTGCAAGGGATTTTTTCTTTCTTTTTTTTTTAAATAAGAAAAACCTTGTGGGGGCAGGTCGTTAGCGGACTGGCAGCAGAAATGGGGAGAAGCCTCTTACATCTTTCTTGCAGTAATTCTCTTTTCCTTCTGCTTGGCCAGCTCTTGCCGTCCCCACCGGTCCCCGCTCCCTGCTGGGGACCAGCCGGGGGCCCTGGTAGAGACTCCTCTGGGGCGCGGGCTGTGTCCGAGGGCCAGGGGCTCCTTTCTCAGCAAAATTCACAACAGGGCCCACGAACGTCCAGTGGAAGCCGAGGCAGGCAGCGTCTAACATGGCGTCTGCCGAATTTCCGTAGTCGTTTTTTCCCTGGCTGGGTTTTGAAGCTGTTGGATTTTCGTGTTGTCTCTGGGCCGCTTGTTTCTTGAAGAGGGTGCAGATCGGAGGCCGGGCGGGCGGATTTCTTTGCTGTTCCAATGGCACCGCTATTTAGGAGCGATGCAATCTAATTCCCGGAAAGCTGGCCAGCTAGCGATTTTATTAAAAAACAGAGTCAGTGGCCATATTCTTGTCTCTGGCCTTCAGCGCGCTGTGGGTTAGTGAGCGTACCGTGGGTTAGCCGTACTCGGTGCCTTTTTCTTAAAGTTTCCTTTAAGTCCTGTATTGTGGGTCCGAGTTTAATCACTATGGATACAGGGAAAATTGAAAGCAGAATTTGTGTGTGTGACCTTATTTTCAAATATTTCTGAAACAGCAAAAGAATTATTCGCTACTAGAGCGGAAAGGAGAGGTCTGCGTTAAGTTTTTGGACAAAAATTTGTTGAGGTTGGGTACGCTGCTTATTTGTCAGTAGAAATTCGGCTACTGGTTCTCACAGATTTGCAACACAATTTAAAGTGCGTCTTCTGCTTTATCACTACCTCCGTTCAGGGTACGCTGGGCTGCGATTAAGGGGAAATTGGAGCAAACGTTAGCGCAGAAATGCCCTTCAGATTTGCAGTAAGTGCAGGTTTTACCGTCTCTACGTTCTTACAGCAGCTTCTGAATGCTAGAAGCCAGGCTCAGACCTGAAATCTTCCTCCTGTGTCTCCTGGCCGTGAAGGAAATCAGTGCCGCGGTCGGCTGCTTTGCTGCGCTCGTCTCGCCTGACAGAGGACCCAGGGCTGTTGGGATAGAGGAGCACTGATGGCAAAAAAAAAAAAGTCTTAAATATTTCCAAGCTAGTGCTAAATTCTGGTGGTGGTATTCCCCCCC